TGCTCTCCCCTGAGTTGTGACATCTCTGAAGCACAGTCAAATAACAGCAAATCAAGTACAGTCCTGTGCAGCCACCTAGTAGGTCAGTACGCCTTTCAAGGTGCGTAGTTGTGGGTATCCTCTTACTGGTTACTCTGGACATTAGTCCAGAGGGTGCATATAGTGATAAAATATCTTTCACTGTCGACAGGAGACATCTCTCAGTCAGCCACTAAGAAGGTATCAGAATCATTGTTGGTTTATTGCCCAGAGAGGTGGGCAAATGTTTGTATTTACTTACTTACTTCTGTACCTCCGTTCCTTTCCTCCATCTCCTGTCATGTGAATACAAATGGCAAAGTTAAGTTTGAATCTTGGGTATGCGTAATGGTTTCATTGCGTAATCACTGATGAAGTGTATGTCATGCAGAGTTAGAACCTTAACAAAGCAGAAAAACAAAGTAAAATGTCAGTTAATGTTTTACTAATGTTCCCTTGTGCACGCTATTTTGTCTGGGCCTCCAGGCTTTCAATTTCATGGTCCCATTCAAATCAATAGACTTGTCCATTGAATCATAGAATAATTTGGGTTGGAAGGGACCTCTAAAGGTCATCTAGTCCAACCCCCCTGCCGTGGGCAGGGACATCTTCAACTAGATCAGGTTGCTCAGAGCCCCGTCCAACCTGACCTGGAATGTTTCCAGGGATGGGGCATCCACCACCTCTCTGGGCAACCTGTGCCAGTCTCTGTTCTTGAAATTTAGTACATGGAATACTCTTATATTCGTATTCTGGCTAGTGAATATTATCTTTTATTGTTACCTAAACTGTGGGGGTTTTTTGTTTTGTTTTGTTTTTACCTCGAGTAGCTTAATTAGTATTTCTTCTTTATAATACAGGTGGGATAGTATTTGTGTTCTCATTTTGTTTTCTATTCTAATAAAACAGCATGAGATTTGGATTTGAGAGGACTTAATTATCAGATGGGGATATTGACATTCAGGAATAAAGAGCTGTGCTACCTCATCTTTTTTCAAGATACTGGATTATTTGCATATTGAAATACAAAATGAGTATTGGCATGGATAAGGATGTGGGGAAGGAGGAGCAGTAATAAATTTAAATAAAATTCACATACCACCAAACACTTTCTAAGAAAAGCTTTGCATTTTCATGTACTGATGTTTGTTTAAAAAACATTTATGTATTTGAACAGAAACTTCTATTTAATTTTTTTAGCATATATTTTTTCAGTTTAATTTATCTTTAATGAGTGAATTCAAAGGCAAAGCTATAGCTGTGTCCTACTCTTCCAAACCAGGAAAAAGCCTGAGTTTGTTCACCTCGCCACAGACAGCTATCTAGTATTCAAGTAGGTTTGTTGGGTGATGAGCTACCACATAGACATCGTGGAGCACTGGTAGGGGGCAGCCCGTCGTAGGACAACGAGCCACTGTGAGGTTCCCTGATGTCCTTACGTGGTCGCGACTGTTGGCTGTTTGTTCAGAGCACTACATTTATCCACACGTGTTTGTAGTACGCTCCTGAGTTGCTTCCCGTGTCCCTGAGCAGATCCGTATTCCGATCACCAACATGCCAGAGGAGAGTGTTTTCTGTGCAATGGGTTTCCGAAGGCTGGGAACGCCTGGGTGTTTCGGAAGGCACACTGTGGGCTGATCCCAGTGTTGCCATTTGACCTCTGCTGCTGGGTCCCGTGAGCAGCATCCCTCGTCCATTACGCGATTCCTGCACCTCACAGGCTTGTTTCAAGGAAGCTCTGCACTGGTGTGATGCAGCCAGACTGCCTCGTTTATAAAATAATTTTTTTTTTTTTTACCTTTCAGCAGTAGTCCGTTCACTGATTTACATATATTTCATTAAATCTCTGTGTTTGATGCAGTTCTGGGGAAGATTGCTGAAATGTAGTTGAGGTCGGTGTTGGTGGGCAGCTTACAGAACTTCCTGAGACGGGTTTTTACAGCTCACAGCTATTAGGCGGCTAACCCCACATAGCTATTTATTTCTGTCTTCTGCTTGCTGTGTCAAGTTCTTGCATGATGGGTTGCTATCTAAATTTGACTCTTAGGAGTAGGCAAAGTTATGTATATGATAGCAAGCATGCAAACTTTATAATTATTTACACTAATGTAGCAGTTTAATTGACTCAGACTGTCTTGCTGGAACAAGCTCTGTTGTCTGAAATATTTGGTGTTGTGATTGTCTCTCTACCATAGCTACTCCTAATTTCTGAGTGAAGACTTGGGAATGCAGTCAACTACATACCCATATCACTACAGAAAAGCTTGAAATGTAAGGTCATGGCCTCTGGAGGCTTCCAGCAAATGAGAATGATAGGTAGGAATGGAGCATCATATTAACACAAAGGCATGTTTTCCAGGTATATTCTCATGCATTTAAAAAAAAAAAAGGGGAGGGGGCAGGGAAGTAGTTCCTAGCATTAAGGGTTGGTGATCCTCTCTCAGGCAACTATGTCTGGCAAAACCTATAATCTAGCTTCCTAACAATAAATAAATTTAATAACTGCATGTGGTGGAATGGCTATGAATTTCTGCTTGAACTGTGACTTGTGGAGTATTCAGCCAAGGCTACAGAGTAAAATGGTCATATGAATGGAAGAACCAGTGACCCAGCTGATGATTTTTTTATTTTTTTTTCTCCTTCAGATGGCTCTGCAACCTCATCACTATTATTTTTTTTTCCCTTTTTTCTTTTTTTTGGTAGACTAATCACAGCTATTGGGAAACGCTCCTCACAAGCGTTATAAATGCTTGCAGCTCATGGCCACTGCTACAAAATTTGAACTAGTAGGAGGTCTTTCTCTGAAAACAATACCTTTCAGATAGTCTTTTAATTTTAGTGTACTGTAACAACAGGTTTAACAAGATATTCTTCCTTTTGAGGATTTGTTCCAACCCTTTAACTTTTTGGACGCCTCTTCCATCTGTTGAGGAAATGTTTTTGGTTTGTTTTTTGGTTTTTTTTATGGTGGTGCATAATATGCTAGTGGAACTTAAACTGCCCAGGGGCTGTGTGGAGGCTGCCAAGTCTGTGGGACTAGTCATCTTGACTTTTCAGGACTGTTTTCCCTTGGGGAAAACACAATCGTCAGGTTTATTGTACAGTGACAGATGTTTAATTTGTAAATGTCATGGCAACTTCAAGGACTCTGTGTTTGGCATACAATGCTTCAAATACTGGTTTTACGTGAGAAGACAGCTATGATGTACGGCTGGAGTTGCTGCAGTTCTGCTTGCTTTCTTTTTTTGAATTCTCTTGGAGAAGATGGCCCTTAACCCTTTGCTAATAATCTGTTTCAGTTGAGGTGTGTCATGTCTTTTTGTCATGATGTAAGTTAGGTAAAAATCCTGGTGATACAAAGTCTGTAACGTTCAAACGTAATCTGATCATTTCTTTATTTTCATTGTCTTTCAATGTTACTTGCCTACCAAATTTGTAATAACATGTTGTTTTAGTCAGAGGGGATTTGTCTGCTCTAGCAGTCAGATATCTGAATCTGAGCTAGAAGTCTTGACTCCATGTGTAGCAAGTAAAGGGAAATTAGTGGTTCTAGGTTGTAGACACATTGCATCCCATGTGCGCCTACTGTTTTGCCTTGACTGGACATCAGAGCTAGTCAGTTTGGCATCCCTTTAGAATTATATTAGAGGAAGCCACCTTTAAAGTTAGCAAGAACAAAAAAAGCTTGTGTACTTAATATTCTGAAATGTCCTAAAAGTCCAGATTGGTTACACTCAACTTCAGACACGTATAACTGACACATCTAAGCCATAAGCATCATTGTCCTACTGAGTAATTAGTGGAGCACTATGTTTCTGAAGGATTCACACAGACTGAAGCTTGAAAGGCACAGTAGCAATGATTTCCTTTTTATTGGCAGTAGAAGGAGCATAGAAATACTAGTCTCCTAATGTAACTGAGGTGCTAAAAGTAAATGGGATGAACTTGTCTAAATTCCTGCTAGTACTGCTTATGTCCAAGTGCATTACAGCTCTCCTATAAACCGTGTTTGCAGTGGTGGTAAGCTGGTATGGATGGGTTAAGGCAGGTTGATCCATATTTCCCCAGTAGTTCTTCCTGCCAGGTTATGTGATGTTTTGTAACATGAGAGATCATTATGTACAGTGTTTTGTGATAAATGCATCTCTTGTGATCCAAAAATATCTTGCTACTGCAGTCACAATGGCATTGTATTGGGTTTTGCAGAACGTTATTCCATTCCACTCTGTTCGGCATACTGAAATGCCCTCTGGTCCAGAATAAAATCCACTAAGCTAGGCAGCAAGTGACAATAGGCTTAAATGTGACCTTTGACTGCTGTTTATAAATGTTCTTCATCGGCCTTCTTAGGTCCTTAGCCCAACCTACCCTAAAGACAGATATGGAATGTTACTAATTTGTCAGATGAATGCTATTTTATAAACAGTTGTGTAATGGTTACATCCAGTTGAGCTGCTTAAAGTGCTAGCTGTAACTCAATGCCGGAAGCAGGAATATATACTAGGATTCCTACTCCCCCAAGTCATATCACAGTCTGCAAAATATTTGTTGATAAAATATCTGTACATTTCAATCTGCATCTACTGATCGGTATAAATGGAATATTAGACCGCTACTATATCTGTATACCGCATGATTCTCCAAAGTCAAATGTTCTGCTTGTAGTCTTTGGAGCAACTGCATTTAACTTTTGATTTTAAAAAACTGCTATTCGTGCTGTGAGAATGTTCAGTAGGAAGAGCTGCAGCCAAAGAAACAGTGTCTAGCTGTGGTGTGGTTCGCAGTAAAATTCTGGGTTGTGGTTTTCCATTGCTTGTTGCATGACGGTAATAGCTTGTGAGTTGCTGAAAAATTACTAATTCATGCACTTTTAGCTGGAGGTGAAGGGAGAAAGAAATGATGAGCAAACCTGTAATTTTCCCAAGTACCACAGTTACTGTATCTGATAAGTTAATGCAACTACTTTTGTTGTCTTATCATAGATAAACTCTGAAGAGCGTGTTGAAACAGCTGATCAGGAGACAGTCTCTTGGGATCGCAGTATTCCTGAAGACATAAAACAAAAAGTACAGCCTAAAGAGGTTCCAGCAGAAAGTGTTACTGTCTGGATCGATCCGTTAGATGCTACACAAGAATACACAGGTAGCTGATTCTTGTTGACAAATCATGTGTGTAATTCTGATGTCTGCCTTTTATACTGGAGACAAAATAGTAAGTATTTAAAATGACATCTCTTATTAAAGTGTGTTATGTCAAAGCTAGTGTGATTTCATTGAAAAAATTGCATAATGAAATCCCTATAGTTATCACACTGTAGCATTTACTTTTATATATACCAACTCTGAAATGACTTTGGTATTCCTTGCAACTAAGTAATTGCTAAAATAAATGGTAACTGTCCTTTATGATTTCTGCTGGAATTACACATTTCTTTTTCAGTTATTACTGTGGCAACACTAAATATCTCAGAATATTTTTTGTTTGTTTATTTAAAGGGAATACTAAGTGAATATCCTATTTAACTTGATATAAAAAATTTTTGTTACAGTTTTTCAAAAAAGCATGCATAATTCAATCTTCCCCTTTTTCAAATGTTTTAAGATGTCACATAAGCAGTTCAAGGCAATCCAACTGAAATTCTTGCTGATAAGTACTGCAGAAGAAACAGAAAAAGGGGGATTTTTTTGCAAATATTCCATTGATACAATCACCTTTTCAGGTGAATGTTCTTTGGTATTTGAATTATGAGCTTTGAACCAATAGAGGATAGGGGGTGGGGCAGAGAAGAGAGGATCTAGGAGCACAGATTTCCATGAAAATACATGCTGCGTAAGATACAGCTGTTAGCATCTACTGAACAGGAAAAATTACTGGAAGACAGAAAAGTCTTTAAAGTCTTTTGAAAACTGCAAGGTTATTTGAAGATACAACAAAGTTACATAACTGTAAGAGGCAGAATGTAGACTAGTCTTCAAAGAACAACATTTCTATAATGTCAGGTCTGCTTTCTTTTTGTGTTCGTGGCATTTGGCTGTAAATTTGCTCACTTTCTCATTTTGCCCACAGAGGATCTTCGACAGTACGTCACGACAATGGTTTGCGTGGCTGTAAATGGTAAACCAGTAATAGGAGTCATACACAAGCCGTTCTCAGCATATACAGGTACCTTTATGTCTTCACATATTTCCAGCATCTTCAGTCATAGCGTTAATTAAAATTTGATGTTTGAGAGAACATCTGTAGGTATAAATGAGAAAATAGTACCTGGGGCAAAAGAGCACTGCTGTAGACCTCGGAATTAGAGCTGCAAATGTGTTCTGTGCTATAAAACCACAAAGGAGAATGCTGCCCTTCTTTAACATAAAAATGATGCATTTAAAACAAACTAACTGAAAATATGTTTAAGAATTAAGATCCCTTCAATCTGAGTGTTTACAGGAAACCAAAGAAAGTGAAACCTACACATACTGACCAGTCTTATGTGTGCTGTTAGTATTTAGCAGAAGAGTACTTTGCTCATTCAGCAGAAGAACTTGGGTCCATGATATTATACCAAGGAGCTGGTGTTTATTCAATGTGAATGACAAAGATAGATTAAAGAACATAATGGCAGCTGTTTGTATGTAACAGGCAAGACTGCCTAGCGTAGCCTTATTGATTATCTGACATGCTTTTAACGCCACAACCCTGAACTAATTAATTCTTTAGTATTAATGAGGTATCAGTGAGGATGGCTGCAGGTTTGGCAATGTGTATGCACTTCTGAAAGCTTCAAAGTAGTTTTAGTATTCACGTCTTGCATACTATATATTTGAAACAAGAATTTCTGTTCTCATTTTCCCTTAGGCAATACTGACCTCTAGAGTTGTGAAGTTATGCGGTAGCTCTGGCACAGAAACTAAGACCGAATAAATGTATTTTTTTTATTTGTTCTCTTTTTTTGCCCACTGAACGCTCAATGTTTTGTGCTAAATATTTTACTGTCTTTAAATATAAACTTAATTTCCAGTCATTTAAGTATGTGCTATATTCCAATGTGCTTTAAGAATCTTGGGGGTTTTTGGAACATATTTTTCTAAGTATCAACATCTATCTGAAGAAATGTTTTTTTTAGCACTGTAATTTTGAGAATTTATCTCCTTTAGTAATAGCAAAGTGTGAAATGTTCAGACATGGCATCATATGAGATGCAATGAATTCTGTCATTCTATGTGAAGAGTATTCATTTCCCAAGCTGGAAATACCAATATGTTGTGAGTAGGATTGTTCCTAATGCTACCTACCACACAAATACAAAGCAATAAAGGGCAGTCAGCATTGTTATTACACATAACTCAGTCTGTTGCCATACAATCTGGCCCTCTACTGAGATGAAATAGCTGGTTACTCTGCTAAGTAAATGTCAAATTAATGGTTAGGGGATGCCACCTACCAAGCTTGGCTTTGAACCTCATGATGAAACAAGTGGGAGGTTGTGTATTCTAAATCCAGTCCTCTAAAACCCACCATCAAATATTTTCCTTGGTATTACTATCCTCCTGAGCTATTTCCTTCCTTAGCATTACTATCCTTCTGAACAAAATGACTCAATAACAATTTTGCTGTCTGCTTTGAAGGGTACTGGGGCTTTTTGTTCTTATAAAAAGGTGGTTTGAGGAAATACTGGATCTATTTCTGACTCAGAGTTGTCCTTTTAACTTTGGTGGCTTTCCAATTTCAAGTTCTAAATATTACTCCTTGGGATTTTTCCCTTTTACTCTGTCTTTTTGGAAGTATCACACAAGAATAGTCAGGCATAGGATAATGCCATATGCACAAAAGTGTGTGTGTGTGTGGACTATTTCTCTTTTTCTTCCACTTGTGTGCACATGTGGGCATGCACCCCTTCCTTTTGTCAGCCCTAACTTTCTCTTTTACAGTAGGGAGGGAAATTAAGTCAGAGGCATCAATTTCGTTTTCTCAGATAAGTATCCTTTTATCTTTACACTCAACAGAGATTGTCTTTTGTAAATCTGAGCAGAATTTGTGTTTCTCTTGTAGCCTGGGCAATGGTGGATGGCGGGTCAAACGTAAAAGCTCGTTCCTCCTACAATGTGAAAACTCCAAGGATTATTGTATCCCGCTCTCATGCAGGAAAAGTTGAGCAGGTTGCACGGCAGACATTTGGAAATAAGACTGTGATAATCCCAGCTGGTGGAGCAGGTTTGGTTCCTTAAGCATCCTATCCGTTTTATTGCTTCCAAGTGATTTAACGGGATAGCTGTTATTAAGACAAAAGGACATAACTGTGGCATCTCCTCTTTTTTCCTCTTACCTTTCGTTCTTCACATCCCTAAAAGCAAGCGCTTGACAATAGGGACACAGTTTTTCCTGTGTATAGAAACCTATGCGCAAACTTAGTTCAGGCTATTCACAAGTTAGTATGTTAGTGAATCTAAGCCTGGACCAGCAATGTTGTTGTGGTCCTTTCATTGAACACACTGATGTGCATTCACTGAAAGAAGAAGTGGTGCCTTCTTGCCTCTGTGGAAGAAAAAGGGTTGTATGACCAAATGCAGAATCATTGGTTGTTAGTTAACTAAGTAGTACATTTAATTAAACAATGTTTTAAGAAAAAGCCATTGAAGTTTTGGTACTATTTCTTGCATTTATGTCAAGAGAAAACTAGTGTCACTAAAGTCCATTTTTATCTGCCTCATATTGAGTCCAAACAGGTCTTAGCTTACTTTTTGTAACCTTACACAATATCTTTCTGCGTGTTACTGACAGAATGCAAATACGTGAGGCACTAGTGTGAAGCAATAGCTGTTTTAAAGTCTTGGAAAAGCCATGCAAAATTTGAATTTTATGGAAATGTATCTTTCTGTGTCTTTACTATGGAAAGCTAGAGCTCCCTTACAGACTGTTTAGTCAAGAAGATCTTGCATAGGTTCTTGACAATGAATCTAAACGAGTTTTCTTATGATAAAGAAAGTGAAAGTGTAACTGATTATAGTAGATTTCCAAGGCTTGACTCTGTATAAGAAGATAAAGAAAGGGACAGTTTAATGAAACAAGCATATTGGTTGAACAGTTGAAAAATTGAAAACGTTCCATAAAAGAAAGAACGCTATTTTGAGCAATGACTTTGTACTGCATAATGTATGATAAAGGGGAATGCCCTGGAGTGAGTTGCTTTATTAGAGTGGTATATGCATCTTCCTTCTATTGTAATAAAAGGCAAGGAAAAAAAGGTAGACTTTAGCATAACACAGAGATTGAGAAAGAAGTGAGTGAACCTAAGAGCAAAACTATATTTGAGTTTCTAGTCTTGTTCTTTTAGTGTGTCTCTAGATAAGTCTATGTAGCATATTGGTAAAGGCTGTCTAAAAATAATGTGTCCCAAATACCCAAGGCTTTGATTGGGGTGCAGTGGAAAAATTGGGGGGGTAGGGGGTGTTCCTTTTTCAAATTTTCTCGACAAGTCAGAGGGCAGACAAAGTTTATTGGTGCCTCCGCCATTATACTGGATGGCATGATATAATTAATGACATCACTTTCCTAAATCTTGCGTGTGTATATTATTAACACTTACTAGTAGATTTATCCTTTGTGATGAATAGGAAAACTTGGTTTAACTTGTTTGTTTGTTTGTTTGTTTTTTACTTCTGCCCATTTCTTCTAGGTTATAAAGTATTGGCCCTCCTTGATGTGGCTGAAAAGAATCAAGAAGAAGCTGACGTGTATATCCATGTCACCTACATTAAGAAGTGGGACATATGCGCTGGAAATGCGGTGTTGAGAGCATTGGGTGGCCATATGACTACCCTGACTGGTGAAGAAATTAGTTACACTGGCTCAGACGGCAATGAGGGAGGACTTATAGCTAGTATCAACATGGACCATAAAGCACTAATTGAAAAACTTCCAGATCTGGAAAAAACATCACACAAATAAACTTGACTGATGGAGAAGTACAAGTCATGCTTTTGTAGCCTCCAAATGCTCTGTCTGAAGAAGCAGGTGTGAGAACCTGCTGGGAAAGATGCACAGCAAAGCAAAGCAGTTTGGTGTGGGTTTGGGGCCTATATTGTGCGTTGGGTTTCTTCAGTGGTGGTATTTAAAAAAAATAAAATAACAATAATCAGAAGTAGGAAGGGGACTGACTGCCTCACACCTCAGTTTCCATGTTTTATTTTTTTCAGACTGTTTTCATGCAGTTCTTATACTCAAGGTGCATATACAGTATATACTTGTGAATGTAGGTGAACTAAAGAAAAATCCTAATTGATTCATAAAATAACCTAAGTAGTTCTCACAGGAACTTCTTGGAACCTTTTGCATCTTGTTACTGTAGTTGTAGCAACTCCATAATGAATTAGGTAGGAAAAAAGGTTGGTTTGTATAGGCATCTGATAACTCTGTAAACAATTTAGCAGGAAACATGACCCTGTGTTCTGCATCCCCTGAACAGAAAGCACAAGGTAGACACAAATTTATATGCAGCAACAGTTTGTCTTTGACAGTGTGGCACTCCTTCTGCTTTTTAAGAGGAAAAAAAGAAATGTTCTGTACTATTTTGACTTTTTTCCTGAAGATGTAAACCAGTTTAGTTCAGATAGGTTGTGAATATCAGTGTTTTATTAATCAGTGGAATTATTTCCATATACCTTTTTAAAAGAAGGCAACGTTTCCTTGTATAGTTTTTAATAGTTACTTCTTGTCCTTGTTTTCTGCGTACAGTGTTGAAGATGCATGCTCGATTTTTCTCTAATGTAGGACTCGTTCATCATTTGGTGTTTGTGCCTGTAGAAGCAGCCTCTTCCTTCAGTACCCATTTTTTTGTTTGGGTTTTTTTTCCATTGGACAGAGTCATATGGAATGAGTTTAACAGAAATAGTAAGTCGATTGGTTGTTTCCATTTACAACATAAGATATAAACCAGCAATTTTTCTACAACCCCAAAAATAACTTTCTGTCTTTTTAGGTTAAGGCACGCTCTTTTCTGCAGAAAGCTCTTGAGCCATCCCAGACAGCTTGCAGTTACTTGGTTTGTGGAAATTTACATAGAGAGAGACCATTTGAACTTGAATCTGTTTAAGCAAGTTTGAAGAACGTGGCACTTGAAGTACAGCAGGGTCTGCAAAACTTTACCGAAAAATGTGCTTTGTCAACCCAATATACACAGAACAGAACATGGGCCTTTTGATATCAAATGACGATTTGTTGCACCTCTAAAACATGTGGACTTCTATCTGCAAAAGTGTAACCATCTATTGTTGTTCTGTGCACCCCTCTGAAGGGTTTCAGAAGGTTAAAATGTACCTCTTATTTGAATTATCAGTAGATAACCTTCCCATCTCAAGAAAGCTAAAATTCTTAGTTAATACAGATGTTTTCTGTTCAAAGTTTCTTCAGTATAAGCTTAGGCCGTTTAAACCAAATTCTTTCTTACTTTCATTTTCACTTCTTTCATCATAGTGCTATTCTGATTAAAAAGGCTTTTTTCTCCTTACGTCAGTAGCGGAGCATGTCTAGATACCTCTTTTGACTTCTAGCTAATGTTCACATTTCCAAAAGACTTCCTCAGTTGTTGCATAACTACAAATACAGACTTCCATTTTGTAAACTTACTGGCACAGTAGGCTGAAGCTTAGTCCTACTAGCCTTTTGGTACGGATAGGGGTTTTTTTAGGTGTTTTTTCCAAAATTGACACTATTGCTGCTGTTTGAAAATAGCTTTTACACATATAGATAATACACAAAGCAACTTAACTTCCAATTTTTAAATTTAATAAACTACTATATGCTATGACAAATAAGTGAATATGCCCTTTTTGAAAAGGGGCTGATCTATTTTGAAAAACTTGTTGAGCTTCCAAACCTCAGTGAATAATAAAAATTCAGATATTTATCAAGGCTTTGGTCATATTTTACAAGAAGACTGCAGCTGTTTTTCCTTCAGGCTGATTTAAATGACTTAAAGCCTAATAAAAAAGCATCTCTCTTGTCTATTAGTTAAAGAACACGGATTAAAAACTAAATATGACAAATAGCCATAGTTAACCTAGTATAAAAACCTAATTGTGTCACAGAGGTTGAATGCACAATATTTAGATAGGCAATTAAGACAAAGTCTGTGGCAGGTTGTGGTTTTAGATTCAGGTTGAAATCATGCGTAAACTTACCTTGTGAAAATGTGACTGCTTTTATTTTGGGTATGATTCTATCACTTCCTTGCATAAGCTGTGATCAGACTTAGCTTCTGTATGAGAAATGAAAAATAAGATGTTACATATTGTACAAGGGCTTACTTGCCTCTTAGTTGAAGGTATGGAGCAGTATACGAAAGTATTTGCCTAAATCATTTTTCCTTAGGAAGATAAGATACAAAGAAGAGCTTCAGCCCTCCTTTCCTTCCTCCAGTATGCGGGCTAAAATACCTAGTCTTCCATTAGGAAGAGAGATGCTTGTTTAGACCTGTTTATATCCTAAATTACTTTGTTGCAATGGCTCACAGTGTTCAGTACCTTTCACAGTGGACCCTTATTGGCCCAGTCTCGCTTCTTGTGAAAATGAAGAAAAGGTGAGAGTGAGGTGCCCAGTTAATTACTTCTGGTACAGCCTGAGCTCATACAGTTTTCCCACAGCTAAGGCCTAAGGTGGTGCTTGGGGTCTCCCAGTCTAGTTTAAAGAGGAGCTGCTTTGATATGAGCATAGGTAAGCACCTGGTGAATATCAGTTTCTGATGTCATTTTACAATAAATGCAACTCTTATGCAGACCAGCAAGTACTCAAAAGTGCTTGCTTAGTGCACATGTGCCAGTGCACTGCAATATTTGTTTGTATAGTGTTAACACTCAGTATATCCTGGTTTTTTGACTACGTTTACACTCCATTTTAAAACACTTTACTGTTCTGGCTTAAGTATTTGTTTGGTCTCAGCTGTGTGGATGTGGCTTAAGTTTATGCCCAGAGCGGTAAGCAATCATACTGTACCCATGGGTACCCCAGTGTACTGCTGGGCTAGAACATTGTTCTTTACATTCTAGCCTTTTCCACATAAAACTGTCATACCATTTTTAGGGATGCTACTTAAAACAATTTTCTAAAAAAATTAATTTAAAAAAATCATGGTATCATTCTAGCTCCAAACAAGGAAAGTAAGAGAATGTATTGTTTTAGCATTGGTTTTCCAATGGTGGGGTTTTTGAGTGGCTATTACGATTAAGGTAATTGCAAGTGAAATTATTCTAAAGCTGTATGTATTTTCGCTTTTTCATTCTGCTAAAAAGAGTAGATGGTAGCATAGATGATACCTCATACTGTACCAAGAGTCCTAACACTCATTCCTTGAATGAGTGTTTTCTAAATAAATGGACACAGAAATAAGAGGGTTGAATATGGTACTTAACTGGTTTCAAGTTTAACCTATTTGCCAGACTTTTACAGATGGACTTACATAAGAGCTGTTTGTTCTGATCTACAGAGCACGTAATAATAATGAAAATATTTAGCAGAGATTGCTTACTCAGATGGTGAATTAACCATATAGGTGAAGCTGTAAAGTCATCTAGTGATGTTGTTTCATATATTTGTTTTTACTTCATGGTCATTAGAGTGGACGGATTTTCTCATTGGCTTCAGGTGTGAGAAGAGATTTTTTAAATGGCCAGTGGTTGGAGATCGGGGCGTGGAGGGGAGTCAGCACTGGCGTTAATCTCTGCTTTTTTGTTTATAAACAAATGTACCCCAACATATTCGTAGCATCCTCTCATCTGTTGGAGTTGTACAACAGCAGTGCAATACTGTATACTCCTGGTTTAATAGTGTAAAACAAGGAGTCTGCATCCTTCGGAGCCAGTGCAATGAGAAGTGACTGAGTGTTGTGCCGGGCCTCGTCTGTGTTATGCCAGCCGAGGCTGGCTGCTTCGTTGTCTCATGGATGTTGTTCCAGTTGCAGTTTCTCTGATGGCAAAACTGCTTTTGTAGGCTACTGTCTCCCCAGTTACACCCAACCCCTTTGTGGATCTGTTTTCTAAACTAAACTAGAGAAGTAGAGAGGAAAGAAGCAGATGGCTGTGCTGGAGAAATTGTAACAGAGAACACTTACTTCCATTTCTTGATTTAAATTACATTGGTAGTTTCATTTCTCTTGTCCTTCAGGGGTTAGATAACCATACACTAAAGATTTAATGGACCACAGATAAATGTCTGCGTGATTTTAAGTCCAAGCAGGATGAGGGCGGGGGAGACTGCTTCTAACCAAGGAAAGCCTGGATGGATGGCTTCCTGTTAGGCCATTCACGCCGAGCCTTTTTTCAATGCTTTGTTGTAGAGATTTAGGCTCTTTCACACAAACAATTACAGATTTGACTTTGCCAAAACAGCATTCATAGTCTATCTTCTGACCTGCTATCCTCAATGATAAAGCTGCGCTATATCCACTTCACTGTAATGTAACTTGCTGAGACAAGACTGAGGACTCAAAGATTGCTTGACGTTTGAAACACAGCTTCTGTATGGCAGCTCTTAGAATGAAGTGCTAGCACCTGCTGCGAGTGTCTTTCCACCCCACAAGCAGGTCGTGCCACTTACGGGTCGTATCAAGAAGCCTTATACTTCATGGTTTTCAGATGCCACACCAGCTCTTTCAGCTCTTCTGAGGGGGGTTCAGAAGTGCTCATCCAATTTCCTTCCAAGGCTCCCTCTGGCGCCAGCAATTAGCAGCCACTTTTCCCTCTTTGCTCTTCCTCATTTTTCTGTTCTTTCCTGATCCTTGCTCCTTTCTTAGTCCATGTGGACAAGAAAAATGAGAGATTGGGAGTGGAAACAGTCCCAGAACAAGAGAGCCACAGCAGCAAACTATCCAGTTTATCCTCAGGCTGTTAATGTTTGGGACCAAGGTCTAAGGTGCTGATCCTACCAAAAGTGTGATAGATGCCAACAAAATAAAGGCATCTTGAAGAGAGGTTCATGTGATTGGTGGTACTGGACATGCAGAAAAGATGCAAATGGACTAAGGAGAAGTTAAAACTGTCTTAAAAAGCAGGAGAAGAAAACAGCTTTTCGGTGTAATGTTACAAGCATTCGGCACTTCTGTTCCTCTGGGTGCAGAGATTCGTTGCTTATGAAGGAGGCTCCATTGGCCCTCTGAAAGGCCTGATTTTGCTGAAGTCAGTAGCAGCATTCCCACTGAATTCAATGTGAGCAGAAGCAAGCCAGATATAACACGAGCAGTAAATCAAGCTAAGTTCTGAAGAGCTCAGCTTCTGCCAGTAGAGCAAACAACCTGGGTTGTGTTAAACTCGCCTCTGGCGGCTTCAGCCTACATTACTAGAGGACTTAGAAACATCCCAGTGTCTTGAGGTTCTAAGTCTTTCAGGTTTTTTTTATGGTCTACAGCTGATAGAGCCCACTTTCAGATAATATCGTTTTCAACCCAGATTGTTCCTTACTTGTAATTCAAATTTCTTTTTTTTTCTCCCCAAAGGGCCAGCAACACTCCGGCATTTTTCCTGTTGTCCCACCAAATTGTATTAGCATTTTCTGATTGTGTGCCAAATTGAAATAACAATTCTATAAATAAACTCTCTGAAAATACTGGTATGTGAGGGTGTTTTCCTATATCTTGTCTTTCTGTTGGGTATTTATTGTTTCTTTGTGCACCAGATATTTTTTTTTCTTTTCTGGTAATGCATGTCAGGCTGCTTCAGCTGTGCTATGTCCATCGTGTGTGCAGGACTTTCTGCCTGAGGGATTACTGTTATTGGCAGGTCCAGCCAAGTTCATGATAAATACAATTCAAGATGTCCACTGGTTTTGCTTTCATATGTGTGCTTTATTCTGAAAGCTGGTGGATCTGTGTGATGGAAAATGAGTGCTTAAAAATCCCCCATATAGTATTTTTCCTTGGATCTGAAGAAGCTTTCCTTCCAACATCATCTCCAAGACTCATCCTAATTATGTTACTTCATTCTGCTTGAGTCTCTTGTTTCCATGATTTTCTAGTGTCCTGCCAAACTCTACCATTACTAGCCCTTTTTCTAGTAATGTGCCACTCTTCATAAGTGAAACCATGCAGTAAGTTGAAAGATGCTTTAATATCCCACATCAGTATGGCATTTTGGGCTGTTCTTGGGTGCAGCTTCAAATATGGTTGTTGTCACCCCTACCAATATGTGCAAGACTGGAGGTACAATGACGTCGTGTCACCCTGGCAATGCTGTCCTTGACATGCTTTCCTGATTCTCATCTTTCCCCAGGTACGAACTGAAGTTGCCAAGCAGCCTCCCTCTATGCCGGCACAGTCCGGTCAGTACTCACAAAAGCTATGTTTCAGCATGCCTAAAATTGTGCTCTGGCACTAACACTGATTGTACATACTACTACTTTCAGACTCCAAAACGGGGTGGCTGCAGGTGGACTGCTCATTGAAAAGTGTCTGGCTTCATGCAGACTACTGAACTGTGCCTGGGAAACGGTTTGGGATGGAGCTGGCTTGCTTAGGCCAAAAACATGCTGAGGATCATGCCGTAGTACCAATTGGTGAGCTGTGGAGTCCAGGATCATTCTGAACTGCATAACTGACTTGTATGGACATAGGCAATATATGCCACAGGAGCTGTATGTGGATGTTTTGAAAACCGTTGTTGATGGTATGCGATCTAACCAGATAATCTGTGTGGAGTATTTGGCAGTAATTTGGAGAGAGAAGTGTCTGTTGCGGTGCTCTGAAGAGCATTTTGGGGAAAGAACAACCCAGAGGAGCAGGGATTCTTCATGTCTTGCGGGGGGGAATGGATATTTGCATTTATCAGTGACATTGATATTTTTCCAACTGCCTTTGATGACACTGCAGCAACCTGGACAGCCCAAGTGGCAGGCTTGTCTGAGGAAAGCATAGTGTGTGTCTAGTTGCTGTTTCATGTGACTAATTGCTGGACTAGCTGATTCCTACGGCCAGTTTGGGAACTTTGCTGCACTGAAAATACTGTCTTCTCAAGTATACTGGTCAGGAAAACATCAAAATTGCACTTTACTGTGGGTTGTGTTAAGGCACGCGAAGGGCAAAAGCACAAGTATGGTGACACTTAGACAACAAAATTGCAGAAGTTGAGTAAGTACATTAACAGTTGGTAGCTGGCTTGTTAAAAACGATTGTATCCTTTGGGAGGCCTGAAGGATTGAGTTGTAGGCTAATGTCTGCTCTATGCTGTCAGCCATTTACATGAGGCTCTCAAGCTTGCATTTCTCCCACTTGAGCTATCACTGCAGTATGGCATAAGAGCTGGGTTGCTAGCAATGCTTCTTCCAGGCTCTGAGTGCTGCCGTGTCACACTGGTATCACACCAAAGACTCGAGCCGTGCTTGGACCTGGAGAAGGCACCCACTGGCCACCCACACTGGTCCCAGTGGCAGCCTCCGGCCTCCCCTCTGGCCAGGGCTCAGTTTTGCCTGAGCCATAGAACCTGCCTCAGGGGCGGCGTTTTTGCAGGTTTCCTTATTCAAAGCAGTATGATAGGTAACAAGCGTAACTGTGTACAAAACCTAAACAGCCCGCAGTGGCATCCTGCTCCTTAACAACATAAACGCAATTTATGCCTCCCTTTTGTCTGTTGGATCAGCTCCTCACATATACAGTGTTCTACACCTTCTTGTTTTCATTTTCTTCTTTCAGGTGGCCATGTTGTCCATATGCTATTCATAAATGCAAGTTAAAATCATTAAAAATACCGTAAGTTCAGTCCAAGTCATGCATGCCTAAGAGCCATTTGCACATTTCTTTCTTTGTACAACAGTAAGACTGTCCTGAGTAGACTTCTTCTCGTCTGTTGGCACACAGAAATCCTGCGCACTAGTCTAATGTCTGAGGGCTTTTCAGCCATGGTCTCCAACTCTGAACATCAATCAGTTCACTTGTAGTGCTACAATAATTAAACTCTGTTTTTCAGAATAACACTGCACAGCACTGTTTTATCTTTGTCTGGACCCTAACTCGGTTGCTTAAAGGTATTCTAGGAGTCTCTGTCAGCCGAAGAGGAGAATTTCTCATCCCCAGGGAAAGGGCTGAACTCCCACTCCAGAGGATGGAAGTTTGACCTGGTGCCACGGGTGGGTACAGAAGAGGTGAAAGCAGAGTCAGGCAGCTGGGAAGGGGCTGTGGGAGTGCTTTGCACTCGGGACAGACGAACTGGAGTGGGTGCCCATCACCTCTGCTGTGGGCCTGGACTTGGTGACCCTTTACTTGTCATGCATCTTAAGTAAAATGGCTCCAAATTACAGGAATTCTTCCAAATTAAGGGGTACGATCTAAATGAAAAGCACAACAAGCATTGTGCTAATCTGTAGGAATTCTGTTAGGGCAATGGACTGATGTGAAACTACACAGATTTGGCTTTTACATTTTAAACCACCACATTTTTCTTCCAAAGGGATATACTTATTGTAGAGTTAAGAATGCATCAAGTTTGCACTCCTCTCATCTGAACTCCACCCAGGCTGGGTGGGTCTGGTGACTGTATTTGCAGAGAGCAAATAACACAGTGCACACTGTATTTCTGCAAGGGAATAGTGTTCAACTAAAATAAATAAAGGGGATCAAATACATATGAATTCTGTACTAGGGGAAAGGCAAGTGTTTTAACCTGCTTCCCATAATTTTCTGAAATCTTAGTACCTGAATCTTTTGGAAATATTTGTATCAACAGCAAAGACTTTCAGTTATTTTAGCAAAAGAAAAGTATCTCTTTTATGTAATGTTTTGTACAGGACTGAACTGACACAGATCTGCTTGCTGTTCTGATAAGATCCTAATCTTCTCTTACAGGAACAGTTTTTTATGCAGGTGTAACAATGGCTTTTGAAACCTAAATAGCACTCCATCCTAATAGATTTACACCAAGAAAACTACGTCTGCCGGAATAGCTTTTAGCACTGACGCTTGGATCTCTAATACTAAAGGACTTGGCGGGGGCTGGGGGAGCAGAGGCCAGTAGAGGGCTCTGTCTTTTCATGAATGCCCTGAAGAGCCAGAAAGATTTTGGAGACGATGAATTTACATGCCCGTTTCATTTTTTTTTTTTACCGAGGAAAGTCTTTCACTGTTTTTTCTTGGTTGCGGTGCATGTTTTTAATTAAGAGGGTGCCCACAGAGTTCTAGGGTCTGATCCAGAGGGCTGCACTGAGTTATTACTGTGCAATTTGACAGCTTGCTGTTATTTCTAATGCACGCTTTCTCTTGCATTTTACATGCCCGTTTCATTTTTTTTTTTTTTTTACCGGGGAAAGTCTTTCACTGTTTTTTCTCGGTTGCGGTGCATGTTTTTAATTAAGAGGGTGCCCACAGAGTTCTAGGGTCTGATCCAGAGGGCTGCACTGAGTTATTACTGTGCAATTTGACAGCTTGCTGTTATTTCTAATGCACGCTTTCTCTTGCATTTTTAATTTGATTTAATATTGCAGTAAAAGTGCACACTTTTGTACAGTGGGTTTAAGCTACCGGCAATATACTTTCTGTTAAGTAGCTCTTTTCAGGCTCCTTAAAAATAATCCCATGAATTCACAGACATCCGTAACTAGAGCTTGAAAGTCATGGTGTGATGATGATGATGTCTGTGTGCATGCTCATTTCCTGCAAGTTTTGCTTCTGTAAGTTATGAGAATAAGGTCAATTGTGACAACTGTACATCCAAGCTTTGTGTGCTTTTAAGTACACAACCACTCCGCCTGCCACTTCAAGTTAATTGCTCACGTCTGATATTGTTAGAGGAGCGACTCCTCCACTTCCATCAGCTCAACAACTTCTACATTTCAGCCTCATGGAAATAATATCTTTACTCTCACCCACCATAAGCATGACTTGATGACCCTCTGTTTTGGGGGGAGTTTTTTTGGCTTCTTTCTTAAAATCTACGTGTTCCCCCACCAGAAATATTAATATCAGATTAGTTTAACAAATAAAAAAGCCTATTCTGTTGCTTAAGCAATTGAAACACCCCATCTTACTATGGTTAAAATACCAAGACTTGGTTCTCTAGCTAATATAGATTGCCGTATATTTTGATATCATTTGAACTTCCTTCCAGCTAGCAAAGGATAGGCTTCTGTTTTGGCCTTTCTTGCACATGAGAGCTATCGTACCCATCTTTATCTGGAAATGTTATGTCTTGCAGCAGCGTGTTGGGGCCTCTTGAAGCAGCTCCATCATACCTTTCTAGGCTCTTTCTGGCCACTGCGCCAGCAAGAACAGGGAGTGCACTGATATTTTATCAGCTGCTTGCTACTGAAATTGTTTGGAGTTTTTTCTTATTTCTGTCACTGGCATTTGTTGTCCTTTGTGTTCATTTCTCACATGGAGAGAAAAAAGAAGTCATTTTCAGCCTTTTACAGGAATCTCACAGTGCTTGTCTCCACAACTGTCTTCCAGTACTGTACTAACAACATAAACATGTAATATTATTGCTTTCTTTGCATTGCCTTTTATTCACACCACATGGACTTCTAGTGACTGCCACCTTTCCTGCCTGTGGAACAGAGAAAAAGAAAAAGTCCATACTCCAGCTGCACAGACAAAGCAAGCGTGTGCTGCT